TTTATTGCAACACAAAATCTAAAAAAGTCCCAAGATTCTACCTTGAAAAAAACAGCATTGGTATTTTTACCAATAACCATTTCCCATCATTCAGGTATGGCAGCTATAAGATATTGTCTGCCGATCCTTATGAAATTTAGTGGGTCGTATTATTTTGACAAAAATAGCACTCATGCGAACCCAAACTCTCTAACTCAAAGACAACTTATCAGCATTTCCGATCAATCAGTTATATTAAAGGTATAGGATAAAGTCGGCCGACTTCGGTCGTTCTGACTTATGTACTGCGTGCAAAGGGAAGAAAACAATTCAAGCCGACACAAACAGTCGGTGCAACATTCAAGTCGATAGCATTAAAACTGAGAGACAATTTTGCATAGAAACAGACAGACAGACGGACATGCTTATATCAACTCAGGAGGTGAACCCGATCAAGAATATACATACTTTTTAGGGTCGAAGATGTCTCCTTCACTGCGTTGCGCACTTTTGACCAAAATTATAATACCCTCTGCAGGGGAATAAAAAGTACAAACAAAATTTAAATAGAGAATTCAAAAAAAAAGGAAAAGGGAATTAGGAAAGGAATAATTAAAAATGGAAAAATAACTTCGGTCGGAGCCGGGGTTGATATACCCTTGCAGCAAAAACCAGAAATATATTGCAAAAACCGGATATAGTTGGCCGATCATTATTAGAAAATCATAATATAACCAATTTATTACAAAACAAAATCTAAAAAAGTCCCAAGATTCTACCTTTAAAAAAACAGCAGTTGGTATTATACCAAATACCAAAAACCATTTCCCATCATTCAAGTATGGCAGCTATAAGATATTGTCTGCCGATCCTTATGAAATTTGGTGGGTCGTATTATTTATATATAGCACAAATATAGCACTCATATATCAGTATATCAAATATATATATCAAATGTATCAAATATAGCACAATCAGTTATATTAAAGGATACTATATTATATTATAGGATATAGTCGGCCGACTTCGGTCGTTCTTACTTATATACGCGTGCAAAAGAAAGAAAACATTTCAAGCCGACACAAACAGTCGGTGCAACATTCAAGTCGAGAGCTTTAAAACTAAGAGACTATTTTGCGTAGAAACAGACAGACCAACAGACAGACAAACGGACAGACACTGGTTGCACACTTTTAAACAAAATTATAATACCCTCTGCAGGGTATAACCATTACAAAAAAAATTGTAAATGGAAGGAAGGAAAAGAAAAAGAGAATAAAGAAAGAGAAAAGAGAAGAAAGAAAGAAAACAGAAAGAGAAAGGAAACGAGAATTAAGAAAATATATGGATATAACTAAAACAACAAGAAGGGAAAGTTAACTTCGGTCGGAGCCGGAGTTTATATACCTTTTCGCGGAACGGATTAGGGCTATCGATAGTCAGGATTTTATGAAGTCAGTATTATTATGAAGTCTAGTATTTTTAGTTAAGGTTATTCGGTCGCACTTAAATCGGGTAAATAGGAAATCCATGATACAATTATACGTATCAACGTATAAAACATTTGTCTTACGTTTGTTAAAGGCATTCCCAGTGATCGGCCAAGCGGCGACATTAACTTTTATTCGCGCTCTGCAAGATGATGCCCACGAAGCACTCGCCCCGGCGGAGACCTAGGCTGGAAGCCTCGGTTGTTCCCGCAACTGCGACCACCACGGCCACAGCAACTGGAACTTCGGCCAGCTCTGCGAGTGTGGCTTGTGATCGGCAGCGGCCACAGACTGCAAAGCAAAGTGGAGCAACCGCCAGGAAAGCGGCAAGTACCCTCCCCGACTGTACAAGTGGCGGCCCTAAATGAAAGGATCGCACGTCTCGAGTCGGAGCTGGAAAAGGCAATGGCAAATGGAGGTCAAGCAGAGGCCGCCAGAGATCCCAATGGAATCGGGGCACGCGGCGTTGGAGTGAGCGGTGCGGCGAATACACCGCCATGTTTGAGTGGAATGCTGCTACGCCAGGGAGCAGCGCAAGGGCAGATCTTGGGTGAAAACTTGCCCAGGCAGATGAGTGACAATCTGCAACCGGAGCTTGGAGTGACGTCATCGTTGCAGTTGTAGGCACAAATAAGTGCAAATTTGCCGCCACAATGGAGTGGAAATTTGGCGCCGACGCTCGGCCTGTCACACGGACACACGAGACGAAACGAGAGACGCCACCACCTAGCTTGGAGCTTGGAGCGGCAACAACGGCTGCTCCAAAATAAATATACCAAATAAATATGTAAATAATAAAAACCCAATGAATATACACACAAATCGACTTGATACAAACTAGATGGGATCCTTGGACCGCGAGATATATAACACTATAATGATAATTATTGTCGCTTTAAAAATTCTCTGAAAGAGAATTTAGAAATATATATGAAAACAATTAAAACAACTAGAAATGAAAGCTAACTTCGGTCGGAGCCGGAGTTGATAAAAAAATCAGCTATAGTTGGCCGATCAATATGAAAATATCATAATATGAGCAATTTATTGAAACACAAAATCTAAAAAAAAGTCCCAAGATTCTACCTTGAAAAAAACAGCATTGGTATTTTTACCAATAACCATTTCCCATCATTCAGGTATGGCAGCTATAAGATATTGTCTGCCGATCCTTATGAAATTTGGTGGGTCGTATTATTTTGACAAAAATAGCACTCATGCGAACCCAAACTCTCTAACTCAAAGACAACTTATCAGCATTTCCGATCAATCAGTTATATTAAAGGTATAGGATAAAGTCGGCCGACTTCGGTCGTTCTGACTTATGTACTGCGTGCAAAGGGAAGAAAACAATTCAAGCCGACACAAACAGTCGGTGCAACATTCAAGTCGATAGCATTAAAACTGAGAGACAATTTTGCATAGAAACAGACAGACAGACGGACATGCTTATATCAACTGGGTCGTATTATTTATATATAGCACAAATATAGCACTCATATATCAGTATATCAAATATATATATCAAATGTATCAAATATAGCACAATCAGTTATATTAAAGGATACTATATTATATTATAGGATATAGTCGGCCGACTTCGGTCGTTCTTACTTATATACGCGTGCAAAAGAAAGAAAACATTTCAAGCCGACACAAACAGTCGGTGCAACATTCAAGTCGAGAGCTTTAAAACTAAGAGACTATTTTGCGTAGAAACAGACAGACCAACAGACAGACAAACGGACAGACGGACATGCTTATATCAACTCAGGAGGTGATCCTGATCAAGAATATACATACTTTGAAGATGTCTCCTTCACTGGTTGCACACTTTTAAACAAAATTATAATACCCTCTGCAGGGTATAACCATTACAAAAAAAATTGTAAATGGAAGGAAGGAAAAGAAAAAGAGAATAAAGAAAGAGAAAAGAGAAGAAAGAAAGAAAACAGAAAGAGAAAGGAAACGAGAATTAAGAAAATATATGGATATAACTAAAACAACAAGAAGGGAAAGCTAACTTCGGTCGGAGCCGGAGTTTATATACCTTTTCGCGGAACGGATTAGGGCTATCGATAGTCAGGATTTTTATGAAGTCAGTATTATTATGAAGTCTAGTATTTTTAGTTAAGGTTATTCGGTCGCACTTAAATCGGGTAAATAGGAAATCCATGATACAATTATACGTATCAACGTATAAAACATTTGTCTTACGTTTGTTAAAGGCATTCCCAGTGATCGGCCAAGCGGCGACATTAACTTTTATTCGCGCTCTGCAAGATGATGCCCACGAAGCACTCGCCCCGGCGGAGACCTAGGCTGGAAGCCTCGGTTGTTCCCGCAACTGCGACCACCACGGCCACAGCAACTGGAACTTCGGCCAGCTCTGCGAGTGTGGCTTGTGATCGGCAGCGGCCACAGACTGCAAAGCAAAGTGGAGCAACCGCCAGGAAAGCGGCAAGTACCCTCCCCGACTGTACAAGTGGCGGCCCTAAATGAAAGGATCGCACGTCTCGAGTCGGAGCTGGAAAAGGCAATGGCAAATGGAGGTCAAGCAGAGGCCGCCAGAGATCCCAATGGAATCGGGGCACGCGGCGTTGGAGTGAGCGGTGCGGCGAATACACCGCCATGTTTGAGTGGAATGCTGCCACGCCAGGGAGCAGCGCAAGGGCAGATCTTGGGTGAAAACTTGCCCAGGCAGATGAGTGACAATCTGCAAGCGGAGCTTGGAGTGACGTCCTCGTTGCAGTTGTAGGCACAAATAAGTGCAAAATTTGCCGCCACAATGGAGTGGAAATTTGGCGCCGACGCTCGGCCTGTCACACGGACACACACACCAAGTAGCTAGGACGAAACGAGAGACGCCACCACCTTATAGGGCAAACCAAAATGGCCTCCCAAGATAAGCCAGCCCAAGAAGAGCCGCCCCGACGTACTCATAATAACGGGGAACGCAGGATCCACATACAGCGATGTCCTCAAACTGGTCACCCGACGGCAAGATGGCAAACTTAATGATGTCAGCCAAAACGTTAGAAAGATTAGGCGCACGGCAAAAGGCGATCTCCTGCTGGAATTGGCAGCGAAGGATGCAAACGCTCTCAAGATGCGACAGACGCTTTCCCAGGTGCAGGCGAGACCACCATCGAGATCCGCGACCTGGACGACCTTACCACGAAGGACGAAATAGTGGCAGCTATTAAAGCCCGAACGAGCGGACAGGAGGAGGCCATCAGGGTGAAGTCCCTTCGCCCTGGCTTCTCTGGAACACAGGTAGGTTTTTTGGGAGTGGAGCCGAGCCTGGCATCGAAGATCCTGTCGGAAGGCAGGATTAGGATAAAATGGACCATGTGCAGGGCTATGTGCAGGGTGCTTTAGATGCGGAAAGCCAGGTCACAAGGTAGCTTCCTGCACAAACGCGGCTGAGTGCTTCCTCTGTGCAGCTGCAAAAAATGCAGAGCGTGCCCACGTAGCTGGCAGCAAGAGATGCCCTCTTGGCAAACTAGATGCAGCGACACAAAGCAGAGTATGAGGATCATTCAGATCAACCTAAACCACTGCGAAGTAGCCCATAGCCTACTCGAGCAGGTTTTAAGAGAGAAGCGGGCAGATATAGCCCTAATAAGTGAGCCGTACAAAAAAGTCGAGACGCAAAGCTACATCCTGGACTCCTCCAAGACAGCGGCTATTTTGGCGCCAGGCAGACAACCCGAAAGTGTACAACCCAGAGTAGGTTTCGTCCAGGCCAAAGTGGGCGCGTTCTGGCTTTACAGCTGCTACCTCCCCCCGCGCCAAACACTGCAGCAGTTCACCCACACACTAGACGAGATAGCCCAGGACGCAAGGCACAGATCACAGGTGGTGATCGCTGGCGATTTTAACGCCTGGGCGGAGGACTGGGGCTCATCGCGCACCAACGCTAGGGGTCGAACCCTCCAAGAGACCTTTGCGACTCTTGACGTAGCCCTGCTGAACACCGGCTCCCAAAACACGTTCAGCAAGGCGGGGTATGGATCAATCGTGGACCTTACCTTCTGCAGCAGTGGTTTGTTTCGGAGGACTAAGTGGTCCCTCAGTGATGATTACACTGCGAGTGACCACAAATACATAGTCTGCGATATAGAGGATAGAGAGCAAGCTTCCACAGCAGCGAAGCCACCAAGATTCAACCCGGCTACATTGGAACCGCTAAAATTCGCGCAGGAACTAAGGACTCCAGATCCTTCAGGCGACGTCGAATGCGAAGTTCACAACTCCATGGCTGCGGTCCTACAGGCCTGCCGAGCCAGCATGAGGTGTAGCCGTGGGCATTCAAGGCACCATGAACCGGTGCCCTGGTGGTCCCCGGAGATAGCCCATGCGCGCAGAGAGTGCCTCCGAACCAGAAGGTTGCACCAAAGAGCCAGAGGAAGGCCGGACTTCGAACAAAAAAGGGAGGACTTCGCGGCAAAGAGGAAGATTCTGAAGAAGCTGATAAGGGAGGCAAAGACCAAGTGCTTTCTCGAGATGTGCGACGCTGCAGAGCAAGATCCGTGGGGATCGGCCTACCGGGCAGTTGTCAAGAAAGCGAAGCAGGCAAAGCCGATCGCTCCAAAAGATGCCGAAACAATGAAAGCCATTGTGGAGCACCTCTTCCCGAAGCAGCCGAGTGGAGTGGAGTCTCCTGGGCCAAGTGGAGCAAGAGAACCTGCCGGCTTTACGCCGGCTTAGGAAATAGGCGCCCTTGAAATCGTGGAAGTCGCTAAGGCTATCCAGGTCGGAAAAGCTCCTGGTCCAGATGGGATCCCAGACATCGCAATCAAACTGGCGATGACTGCGTGCCCGGACCGGTTCGCCACGGTCTTCAACGCATGCCTACGGGAAGGCGTTTTCCCTAGAAGATGGAAAGTACAAAGCCTGGTCCTCCTCCCAAAGCCAGGCAAGCCGCCGGAGGATCCGTCGTCCTAAAGGCCGATCTGCCTCATTGACCATGCCGGCAAAGCCCTAGAGCGCTGCATATGCTGGAGGCTCCAGGTGGCTGTAATCAGCGCGGGAGATCTCTCCCCATTACAATTCGGGTTCAGGGAACATCGTTCCACGGTCGACGCAATCTCCTTGATCAGGAGGATTGCAGCCAAGGCAATCGAGGGGACCAGATGGGCGGGCGGAAGTAAGGAGTACTGCCTGATCGCCACGCTGGACATTAAAAATGCCTTCAATACAGCCAGGTGGGATGTCATAGTGGAGGCGCTGCGAAATCTCCGCGTGCCGACTAGCATTGTCGAGATCATAAGGTCGTAAATCAGTGATCGCACTATTAGGTACGAGACGACCTCAGGCATCCGAGAGCATGTGGCCTCCTGTGGCGTCCCTCAAGGCTCAGTTTTAGGCCCAGACTTTTGGAATGTTATGTACGACGGGGTCCTCAGACTCGACCTCCCGGAACGGACACACCTAGTTGGATTCGCGGATGACATCGCGGTAGTCGCCGTCGCCAAGACGATACAGGAAGTGGAGGAGCAATGCAACGCTGCAATTGCAACCGCCATCGGTTGGCTGGAACAGGTAGGGCTAAGCCTAGCCCACCACAAGACGGAGGCTGTCCCGATTTCGAGAAGGAAGCGAGTGGAGACGGCTTCAATCAACGTAGGAGGACATGTGGTCAAATCAACCAGAGCCATCAGGTACCTTGGAGTAACGCTGGACACGAGGCTTAGCTTCAGAGAGCACTTCGCAGTAGTAAATCGCAAGGCAGCGAAAGTCGCCAGAGCATTAGGGAGGATCATGTTCAACTGCGACTCCGAGCGGAGGCTAGGCTAGCCTAGGCAAACTGTAGTGGGGCGCATAAGCACGCCAATTCCTGGCCCTGCGAAGCAAAGCCTAGCGGCATTACCGCAGGGACAGGGACCTAGTAGACACTTTTCTTTTTGTAAGAGCTTTTTTTTAAGTCTTCTTTAATAATAAACGATTTAAAAAAAGATAAAAAAAAAAAACAAAAAAAAAAAAACACACACACCAACAACAACAGTGGGCTATTCTCAGCCATTTTGTCTGACCGCCACGGCGCAGCCTTAACTAGGTTATGTTCATCCGCCACGGGAGCCGACACACAATTTGGAGGCATCTGCACCACCGCCCCTGTCATATGGAGTTGCGACGGCGAGCATACCTGGATGGACGTAGACTGCCTGATCTTCCCGTTTTCGAGGGTCAGCCAGAGGACTGGCCAATATTCGCGTGCGTGTTCACGGAGACAACGGCAGCCTACCAGTGCACCCAATTGGAAAACAAGCAGAGGTTAGTGAAAGCCTTGTGGGGCGAAGTCCGCGAGACAGTGAAGTCGTTGCTCATCCATCCCAGCAACGTAGGAGCCGTTATGGAGCAGCTTCGATTCCGGTATGGACGTCCGGAGCAACTCATTCGTAGCCAACTGGATAGCGTGCGCGATGTGCAGCCAATACAGGAGGCCAACATCGCAAGGATCGTGCCGTTCGCGACGAAGGTGAGCAACCTGGCAGCGTTCCTGTAGTCAACCCCGATCGGCAACCAGCACCTAGGGAACCCAACCGTAATGGAAGAGCTGATCGCCAAGTTGCCGCTGAGCAGGAGGTTGGACTGGGCGAAGCAAGCGATCAGGATGCAGCCGCACCCGACAGTGGTGCACCTGAGCGAATGGCTTCACGAATTCGCAAGACTGGTGTGCACCGTCACGAACGCTGGAGCCAAGGAGAAACCAAATCGAAGGATCCTGCACGCAAACAGTGTTCGCGAGGAGGAGTGGTATGCCGACCACCCCAGATGTTGCCCTATATGCGAGGGAAAACACCAGATCAGGGACTGTAAGGAGTTTAACAGCGCTTCTACAACGACGTGGATCGAGTCCGCCAGGAAGCTGAGGCTATGCTTCTCGTGTCTAGAGCTCGGACACATGTCCCGGCTCTGCAGGAAGACGTCCATGGATGTCGAATGAGGCATCACTACCTTCTCCACGAGTCACCTGGACATCCCAGACGGCCGCCAGTCGCAGATGGAGGAAGTAGGAGAGGAATGCCACGACCAGTGGATTCCAACGAGAGGAGCCGTCCTACGTCAGCCGCAGTTATAGACGCGGGGCGTGAGCAGGATGAAAGGCGATCAAAGTGTTACCGCCAGGAACTGCCGCATCGAAGCCTGAGCTGCGTTGAGTCGATTGGATGGCACCTACTATTCCGGATTCTACCCGTGACGCTGTACGGGAAGAATACGCAGATCGACACCTATGCACTGCTGGATGAAGGATCGTCTGTCACGCTCGTCGACGACGAACTCATTCGCAGCCTGACCTGAAAGGTGAGAGTCGCCAACTGAACGTGCAGTAGTTTGGTGGGAAATCTGCCAAGGAGCACACGAAAATGGTCAACCTGCGGATAAGTGAAGCGGGAAAGCCAAAGCGCCATGGGCTGAAGAACGTGTACGGAGTAGCTAACTTGAACCTTCCGATGCAGAGCCTGAGTCGGATCTATGGATGGCTATGGATGGATGACCATTTGCAGCAGCCACCGCACTTGGATGGGTGGTGTATGGACCGGTGAACGGAAAGGCGAGCTTTCCCGTGCCTCCTAGCCGTACCCCAGGATAATTTTCTGGAGAATATGGTGAGCGACTATTTCGAGATAAAGAATTTTTCGAGCAGCCAGTCGCAGCTGGCGGAGTGTTGCTGGCACCGTCAGTCACAGATGGCGGCTACGCACGGGCCTTGAGTATCCTGGAGGAGACGACTAAGCGAGTAGGACGACGTTACGAGACCGGGCTGCTATGGAGAGACGACGAGGTGAGACTGACGGAGATCTGCAATGTGGCGCTCAACAGACTCGTCAACATTGAGGAAATGAGGCGCGATGTGGACTTTGCGCGGGCCTATAAGGGCATAATGGACGATCACGTCAAGAAGGGGTACGCACGACGACTGGAGCCCCAGGAAGCCCAGAGGTTCCAGGAAGGCAAGTTATGGTACCTGCCGCACTTCGGGGTTGAAAACACAAACAAACATGGAAAGGTCCGACTGGTCTTCGACGCGGCTGCCAAGGTGAACGGCGTTTCCCTCAATTCAGCGCTAATGAAAGGCCCACAGCGATACAAGCCCCTCCCAGCAGTACTCTTCCATTTTCGGGAAGGAGTAGTTGGGGTTTGTGCAGACATCAAGGAGATGTTTCATCAGGTACTGATGCAGCCACAAGACAGATGTGCCCAGAGGTTCCTGTGGAGAATCGGAGAGGACCAACGGGAGCAGGACGTACCCGAGATGCAAGTGATGACGTTCGGAACAGCTTGCTCACCATGTTCGCGGACTATGTGAAGACCTTGAATGCCTCGCAATACAGCAGCACGGATCCACGAGCAGCCCTAGCTATTAAGGAGTACGTGGACGACTACGTCGAGAGCCATTTCGATACGGGTGAGAGAGATTCATGCTGATGCAAGTTTTGACTTGTGTCGATTCACTTCTAGTTCGGCAAGTGTGGTCAGAGCGTTGAACCCACTTGAATCCATCGCTAGCGTTATATGAACCGAAGCTGAGGAGAAGGTTCTGGGAATGTACTGGCAACCGGCTAAAGATGACTTCAAGATCGGCGTCAAATATTATCGAGTCCCGAGAAGCGTGATGACAGGGGAACACGGGCCTACCAAGAGGGAGTTCCTAAGCCTGGTCATGTCCACGTTTGACCCGATTGGATTCCTGAGCTGCTACATGGTGACTGCCAAATTGTTAATGAGAGAGATTTGGCAAAGAGGAGTTAACTGGGACAAGCCGCTACCCGATAATTTGGACGCATCCTTTGAAGACTGGCGGCAAGGAATGAGCAAAATCGAAGAGTTCCGATGTCCACGCTATTACTTCGGCGGTGGGCGCGTGAGAATGCTACAGCTGCATATCTTCGTGGACTACAGTCAGTCGGCGTTCGCAGCAGCGACCTATTGGTGGGCCACTTACGAGAACGGAGACGTGCGGGCGCATTTCATAAGCTCCAAGACGAAATGCGCTCCGATGAGGACTATGTCGATCCCGCGACTGGAACTACAAGCAGCAGTATTGGGCACAAGACTGATGGACACCGTCAAGCAGGAGCACGGTGTGGCGTTCAGCAACTGCGTATTATGGACGGACTCAAAAACTGTGTTGCACTGGATAAGCAGCACCCACCGGAGATACAAACAGTTCGTCGGTAACCGGGTGGCAGAGATTCTGGAATCCACGGAGGCGTCCCAGTGGAGATGGATCCCGTCTGCCGAAAACGTGGCAGATGACGCGACGAGGCCGCTCAAGGCCGTGGACCTGAGCATCGATTCGCGGTGGCTAAGTGGTCCACCATTTCTTCAAGGACCAGAGGAGAGCTGGCCCAGATCGAGCGAAGGATGGATCCCTCCGACGATGGACGAAGAGGAAATGAAATGTGAGTTTGCTTTGGTTATGTAAACTTCATATTCTTGCAGAGGTTCTCAAATTATAATCGACTGGTGAGGAGCACCGCATGGGTCTACGATACGGTGGAGGGGATCACGGACTGACGTCGATGGAGTGCGCTGAAGCTGAGCTCGCACTGGTACGGCAATCGCAGCGAGAAGCGTTTACTGAGGACAGCCAAGGAAAGGCCGCAAAGGGCAACCGACTGCGTGGACTGTTCCCATACTTCAACGAGGACGGAGTAATGCGAGTCAGGGGAAGGATCGACGACGCGACATGTGTGCCATACAGCGCACGTCGGCGCCGATCATACTGTCTCACAAGGAAGCGTTGGCGGAGATGATCGTGCAGCATCACCACAAAAGGATGTGCCACCAAAACACGGAGGCAACCATCGGAGCGATCCGGCAGAAGTTCTGGATCCCGAACTTACGGAGGCTGCTACGGAAGGTGGTGAGCAAGTGAAACGTTTGCAAATTGCGAAGAGCACAAACCAACTCAGCCCGAGATGGGACCTCTGCCAGTTGGTATTTGGTATTGTTGACGGTTGGACGTCGCACGGAGAAGAGGTGGGTGGCACTGTTTACGTGTCTGACCACAAGAGCTATCCACTTGGAGATGGCTGACGATTTGTCCACCGATTCCTACATAATCGCCATAAGGAACTTCATGAGCCGACGTGAACCCGTCGTCAGGGTTAGGAGCGACAATGGAAAGAACTTCGTTGGAGCCGACCGCGAGGCCAAGAGGTTCAGCGAAGTGTTCGAGCCTGTACGGATCCAGGGCGAGCTGTCGACTAAAGGAGTCGAATAGATTTTCAATTGCCCGGCGAACCCAGCTGAAGGTGGTGCCTTGAAAAGGATGGTGCAGTGTGTGAAAAATGTGCTGACACCCAACGATTTGCTGAAGGGAGCACCCAATGTCCCAGATCTTCCCAAGGATGACGGACAGGAGCCCGTGAGATGCGCTACCAGGAAGCAGTGGCTCATAGCGAGGATGATGCGGGATCGATTCTGGAAGCGATGGGTGCAAGTTATCCAACCCATAATTCCAGGCCACTTATGGCTTTCCACTTATGAATTTTATAAACAGTACTTTCAAACTCTGCATTTGCCTTCGGCTTTGTCTTTGGCTCTGAGGTCCGATCTCGGTTCCCCATAAACAAATCAAAATCAAAAGTAAACATCAGCTTCCCTCCGAAGCCCAATCAATTGCGCCTGTTGCGTTTCAAGTACCCACCAAATTGCATCGATCAGCTTCATCGAATTTCACAATGAGATGCGACAGTTTCATCTTAAGCCTCCAATCTAAACACAACTCATGGCCGAGGTTCTTATCCAAATAATTTAGAATTAGAATTTAGAATTAGGAAGCAGTCCTATTTTGACCGAGACCGCGAACGGTTGACGGAAAATATGTTATAAAATCGAAATCGTCTTGTAATAAGTCAGTTTAATAAATAATAAGTAAAAATAAAGGTTTAACACCAAGTTGTATAATTTAAAATAAAAATTATATTTTTTTAATTCACCATCTAACAAAAAATTTAACTTGCATACCTACCGACTCTTGTGCGCGAGGGAGAGATGGTGTAAGCGCGTCAAGCCCATTCGTCGAGGAGACTTGGTGTTTGTCTGTGATCCAGCCATACCACGAAGGGAGTGGAAGCGAGGCGTCGTAAAGGAGGTTTTCACCGGGAGAGATGGAAAACCTCGTCGAGCGGCAATGAGGACTAAGGATCGAGCCATGACAATGCGTCCCGCTTCGAAGCTAGCTGTCCTGGACGTGGTGAATGCGGCTGCTTCACGGGGGTGGGGATGTCGCGGAACGGATTAGGGCTATCGATAGTTGGCCGATCCTTATGTAATTTGGTGGGTCGTATTATTTTGACAAATATAGCACTCATGCAAAACTCAAACTCTTTAACTTAATAACAACTTAACAGCATTTCCGATCAATCAGTAACATATATTAAAGCTATAGGATATAGTTGGCCGATTTCGGTCGTTCTGACTTATATACTGCGTGCAAAGGAAAGAAAACATTTTAAGCCGACACAAACAGTCGGTGCAACATTCAAGTCGATAGCTTTAAAACTGAGAGACTATTTTGCGTAGAAACAGACAGACAGACAGACTGACATACTTATATATACTCAAGAGGTGATCCTGATCAAGAATATATATACTTTATAGGGTCGAAGATGTCTCCTTCACTGCGTTGCGCACTTTTGACCAAAATTATAATACCCTCTGCAAGGGTATAACAATTACAAAAAAATATATGATCCTTAATGCGTAGAGCCTTTTTTGTAGTGAAATGTATATTTTATTGCTCTTGATTGTTTCGCTGTCTAATTGGTACTAAAGAAAATGGGCAATTTTACCAAAGGTACTGCTTATTTCTAGTGTGTACACATTGTTTGGATCTTAGGTCTAAAATATTAAGGTGGCAAAACTTTATTACTAAGTTATTGGCCGGGTGAATTCTCCTGATGCCATCTTGAGCCTTACTGCTCGCACGATGTTGTCCCTTCCTGGGTAGGTTTCAATCACCCACGCTAAGTGCCATGATGCTGGTAGTGTGTTGGACTCCTTGACGAGCACAACGCTGCCAATCTTGATGTTGGTTGTTGCCTTGGTCCACTTTGGTCGCTGCTGAAGACTAGTCAGGTACTTCTGGTGCCATTGTTTCCAGAAGCCTTAGTACATCGATTGTATACTCTGCCAGTATCCCAAACGGCCCACAGGTATGTGGCCAAGATCCGCCTCCGGGAACGTCTTAAATGCTCGCCCGATCAGGAAATGGGCTGGTGACAGATAGTTGCTGTCTGTATCCGATGTGTAGCATAAGGTTCTTGAGTTGACAACCGCACTGATCTGCGCCAGCAAGGTGCGCATTTGCTCATGGGTTAGTGTGCTGCTGCCAATGACTCGTCGAAGATGCAGTTTGACACATCGAACTGCTGATTCCCACTTTCCTCCCCAATGCGGAGCACGAGGTGGGATGAAGGTCCATTGGATACCTTCGTCAGCTAGGGAGTTCTCTACGTGATCCTTGTGTTGTGTCAGTAGCTGCTGCATTTCATCCAGGGATCTCCTGGCTCCGAAGAAATTTGTTCCGTTGTCGCTGTACATGCGTGTACATTTGCCTCGTATAGAGAAAAATCGTCTCAATGCCGACAGAAATGTTTCTGTATGGATCGCCGACGTAACCATACATACGAATAGTCATATGTAGCCCTTGCTCATGCGCGGCTTGTGCACTTTAGCGTCCTTCAGAAGAATCGGTCCTGCATAGTCGCATCCAGTGTTTACGAATGGCAGTTCTTACGTTATACGAATGCTGGGTAGATCTCCCATACTTTGATGCATTGTGTGTTGTCTCTGTCGAAAGCCCGTTAAAAAGTTGTGTGTGATTTTGCGTATAAGATTCTGTGCGCCGAGAATCCAATATCATTGCCGCACAATGACGAAGAGAGATGAGACTCCAGGATGAAGGTTAACTCGGTGCTCATGTTCTATATCAGCAAAGTGATCCGATGAGCCTGTGGAAGCAAAATGGGATGCTTTGCCTCTGCCGACAACTGTGGGTGTTGGATTCCTTTCGTTTTGGATTCGGTTTCCTAGAAGCTTTTAAGCGAGTAGTAGCTGGACGTCCTGTTGAAACCCAGCTTGAGCGTGGTGCAGCCATCGGATTTTTGCCGACTTGATCTCGTCAAAGGTAAGAGAAGTTGAGATTCTTTTCGAAGCCATAAAGAACCCTTCCACCACAATTGGAAGTCAATGAGCTCGGATACTCCTAAGCCCCGGGATGCACAACCCGCTGGGTTCGATTTTGAGTCAACATGCCGCCATGCATGCTTAGAGATGGTTTCCAAGATTTCGGCGGTGCAGTTCCTAACAAACATCGTTAGTTGGGCTGGTGAGTACGCTAGTCATGATATGACTATTGTGGAGTCGCTCCATGCATAGATAACACAAATCCTTGTGTTTAAACCCAGCATTGATGGATTGCAAAATTTAGCTCAGAAGAAGAACACCGCACAGTTCCAGCCGTGGCAGAGATTGTTGCTTTAAAGGTGCCACCCTTGTTTTTGCTGCAAGTATGGCTACCGAAATGGTTCCAACGTCCTTTACCATTCGGCTGTATACTACGCCTGAGTATGCTTTCGTGGATGCGTCTGAAAATCCGTGCAATTCGATCTTGTCGGTGTCGCTCACAACCAAGCGTGGTGTCTGGAATTGTGGTAGGTTTTCTAGATCTGCACGCCATTTGAGCCACTTGTCGGCTAATTTGTTCTGTAGTTCATCGTCCCAATTCAAATTCAACAGCCAGAGGTTTTGAAATAGTATTTTTAATTGAACTACGGTTGGTGCTAATAGACTGAGAGGGTCGAATATGCTTTATACATCCGACAAAACTTGCCTCTTGGTGCAGCTTGGACTCTTTACTAGATTCACATTGTAAGACAATGTGTCCTTCTTAGGGTGCCAACGCAGCCCTTGAACCTTTACTGATGAGTGTGAGGAATCCTTGTTATCTTCCGATTTATTGTGTTTGGTATTCGATACCCATTTCCCGAGCTCTAGCTTAGCACAGAACATAAGTTCGACGAGCTAGTCCCGATTGCGTCGCAGCTTATCCTCACTATTGGATCCACATAGAAGTCTTCCATCAAGATTTTTGCTGCAGTTGGAAACTCCTTTTGGTGGTCAGCAGCCAGTTGCGCCAGTACTCGAACTGCTAGGAATGGGGCGCATGATGTTCCATACTTCACCGTGCAAAGTTGGAAGTGCTTGATAGGATCTGATGGGTCCTCTCGCCAGACAATTCTCTGAAAGTTTCTATGTTTCACTCACCCAGATTTGACGGAACATTTTGGCTATGTCCGATGAAAATACGTACTTGTACATACGGAACCGCAGGCACACAGCAAACAGGTCTCGCTGAATACTAGGCCCGATCGAGAGTGTTTTGTTTAACGCCTTGCCTTTTTCGTCCCGGTAAGAGCCGTGGAAGACTACTCTGAGTTTCCGACCCAATACAGGATGATGTGGTATGATGATGACGATGATGATGTGGCTCAGTGAGATTTCTCGCATGTGTCCTAGACTTTTATGGTCCCTCATGAAGTTTACGTAATCCTTACGTAGCTTATGATTTTGTGCTAAACGGCGTTCAACCGATTTGAACCGCTGCAAAGCTTCTTGAAGGGTGTCTGCGAATTCGGGATCTGAGGATTTAAAAGGAAGCTCCACGATGTATTTGCCATTATCGTCTCGAGTGTGTGAGTTGAGACAGTGTTTCTCGACCTCTTCGTCCTCAGGTTGAACTTCTGCCTTGCGATGATTGCTTTCCAGCTCCCAGAATCGTCTGAGAGTGGCGTCAATGTCGATTGTTGTTGTGAGGGCCATAGTGTTGCTCGGCCGTGGTGCAAATAGTGATGTGATCAGCCATCCAAAAATTGATGAAATAGCGATTAGCTTGTTGTCAAATATCTTTCTCCTAGTCACAGTGCTCTCTGCCCAAAATAATATCGACTGGGCCACTAGTACTGAATTGTGAATCTGCTAGTTGTAGATTTTTAAAGACTTGTAGTGCCGACGCGTCGATGCTCTGCCTTTCCAATGATGAGGTGATCTTTCCAAGCACGTGAGCCTGGACTACCAGTTGATCCTCTGATATACGGGATTGGATGCGTAGTGTGCTGCATCCCCTTGTTGTGTCTGCTTTAATTGATGAAATTCCCGTGACCAATATGCGGGATGACGTACGAGCCAAACCAAGTGCGTGTATACAGCGTTCAGATACTTATGAAAGTTCTGAGCCTGTGTCCAGAAGGAGTCGGCATGCTACCAAATCCCCGTTAGCGTTTCGAACGTTGACCATAGCCGTGGGTAGGGTGCTTCTGTTCCATCCATTTGATTGTGTTGAACTTGAAGTGTCTTGTGCACATAAAATTGCTGCGAAGCCTTCTGCTTGTGCTATGTGACTAATAGTCACCGGTGAGTTGTGTGCGTTTGGATCATCCTGATCCTCACCAGTTTGAGCGATTGTGCCAATTGCGTGTTGCGTACCTTGCAGATGCAATAGTGTATGGTGTGAGCTTTACATTGTCTGCAGTTGAACGTTGATTTGCATCATGACCAGGTTTCAGACAATTGTAGCATACAGATTTATCCTTGGCAAACGAGATTCTCTGTCCTACAGACATACCCAAATTGTGGACATTCATACAGACGATGTTCTGTGGAATAGCATTTGCTGCACTTGTTTCAATCAAGTGCAACTAACGAATGTGTGACCTTCTTTGTTTGGTCAACAATAGAGGCTGCCGTTTTATCTCCAGTTATTTCGCGTTTGCTTAGCTCCAGCTCCTCGCAACGCGCATCCAAGAATGGATACCTGCGTCGAGTATCTGCGTCCAGTTTTTCCAACGCCAGGTAGATGATCCAACAGTCTCGTCCTGTTTCCTAAATGGCATCCAGACCACGCACGATTTCGTTTGCGCCGTCTGACACCTTCCACAAGGTTGCTGCAAACTGCTCCATAAGTGAATTTACGATGCTGCATCCGTAATAGTAAGATTTCGCACCAAGTTCGCAGCTTCTTCGATTATAAGAGATTTCAGATGATGAAATTCGTGCGTATTTGTCAAATTCGCCTTATTGTGAATTGTGCTCTCTTAAATGTCTTTGAAAGCTGGCCACTCCAAATAGTTGCCAGCGAACCGTTTTATTTGAATTTTAGGCAATTCGCTTTCAGCTGATGTCCATTTGTGCGGTACCTGGATTCGCCGCACTGACGTCAACACTTGTAGGTCTTGGCAATTGCGCAGTGGCTCGATCTGCCGCAACTGCTCGAACAATTGTTGTTGTTGTTGCAGCAAACTGATTACTGCGTCGTTGTTGATTTGCAGCCCGTTGCTGCCGTTCTCGCTACTCACAGTGGATGGGCTAGGTTTTGTACCTGCCATCGCCGAAAGTAATGAATGCGCCCGCAGATACTTTCCTTCATAGAAAGCGATCCACATAGCCATCGACTTCGTCTAGAACAGCTATTTCATCACCGAATCGGATGAATTCCTTCCCTGTTTTGTTGAGATGCTCCAGCCGCGAAGACACCTCCGCCGATGTGGCGTTTGGTTGGTGCGCGTCCTCAGCCCAAGCCAAGTTCCGGGTGATATTGGCCTTGAGTCTGGCGTGTCCCTTCACCAATTTGCCTTTTTTGATAGTGGACTGTATTATATATTGTTCTTGATTGTTTTTCTGTCTAAATGGTACTAAAGAAAATTGGCAATGTTACCAAAGGTACTGTTTATTTCTAGTATGTACACATAGTTTGGATCTTAGGTCTAAAATATTAACATGGCAAAACTTAATTACTAAGCGATAGTTTCCAAACAATGTAAGTAGAGAATTACAAAAAAAGGAAAAGAGAATTATAAAAATATATGGATATAATTAAAACAAAAAGAAAGGAAAGCTTACTTCGGTCGGAGCCGGAGTTGATATACCCTTGCAGGTAAGTCCGGATATATATCGCAACAATCGGATATAGTTGGCCGATCATTATAAGAACATCATAATATAACCAATTTATTACAATACAAAATCTAAAATAAGACCCAAACTTCTATCTTGAAAAAAAAACAGCAGTTGGTATTTTTACCAAATACCAAAAACCATTTCCCATCGTTCAGCTATGGCAGCTATAATATATAGTCGGCCGATCCTTATGAAATTTGGTGGGTCGTATGATTTTGCCAAATATAGCACTCATGCAAAACTCAAACTCTCTAACTTAAAAAAAAGTGAACATTATTTCCAATCAATCAGTTATATTAAAGGTATAGGATATAGTCGGCCGATTTCGGTCGTTCTGACTTCTATACTGCGTGCAAAGGAAGAAAACATTTCAAGCCGACACAAACAGTCGGTGCAACATTCAAGTCGATAGCTTTAAAACTGAGGGACTATTTTGCGTAGAAACAGACAGACAGACAGACGGCTTCAATCAATGTAGGCGGACATGTGGTCACATCAACCAGGGCCATCAGGTTCCTTGGAGTAACGCTGGACATGAGGCTTAGCTTCAGGGAGCTCTTCGCAGAAGCAAACCGCAAGGCAGCGAATGTCACCAGAGCACTAGGCAGGATCATGCTCAACTGTAGGGGCCCGAAGCAAGGACGTAGATTACTTCTCCAGACTGTCTGCAGCGCAACGATGCTCTACACAGCCCCCGTGTGGGCTGATGCAGCCAAGACAAATTCGTACACCAAAGGTTTGACCAGCACATATAGACTGTGCGCCTTAAGGGTGTGCTCGGGCTACCGCACGATCTCTGACGACGCAGCTCTCGTCATAGCAGCGATGAGCGGGCAAACTCCGGCAGCGACACGCCGTCGGCTTAAAGAGAGTTCGAGAGCTACGAGCATACAGAAGGGGCAACAACGATGGGACGAATCGACCAAGGGACGCTGGACCCACCAACTAGTCCCCGACCTTAAGAATTGCCTCCAAAGAAGTCACGGGGAAGTGAACTTCTGGCTCATGCAGGTTATCAGCGGCCACGGATACTTCAGGAGTTTCCTTTACAAATTTGGACACGATGACAACCCAAAGTGCCCTGAATGCGGTGTAGACGAGACAGCGGAGCATGTGGTCCTAGACTGCCCACGCTTTTCAATCGCCAGGCGGAGACTCCTCGGGGAAGTAGTGACGGCGGACCTCATCGGAAGGAGGTTGCTGGAGGACGTCCAGTTCTGGGCAGGCATGAGCCGTTTCGCCGCCTACACGATGATGGAGCTGAGACGGCTAGAGCGATTCCGAGCGGAGGCTAGGCTAGCCTAGGCAAGCAGTAGTGGGGCGCATAAGCACGCCAATCCTGACTCTGCGAAGCAACTTTCTTTCTTAGACACTTTCTTTTATTAGAGCTTAGTTTTTAGTCATTCTTTGTTTGTGTTAACGACTAAAAAAAAAAATACTTAAGACAATATATAGATATAATTACGAGGGCTGACAATAAAGTAAGGTCTCCATTTTTTTTTCATAGAAAATGACATTTATTTGCAAAAAGCGATACACCGTTGGAAAGGCCGTCTTGGCTACTTTTCTACATAATCGCCATAATTGTCTATGCCGGCAGAATACAAATCTCCGTCCGCCTCGCGCAGCCAGGTGTTGACTTCTTTCTGAACCTCCGCGTCACTATAAAACTTCTTCCCTCCGAGATGTTTTTTCAGGGCGGGGAACATGTGGTAGTCACTTGGGGCCACGTCGGGACTATAGGGAGGGTGATCGATGATTTCCCAGCCAAATTTCTTGAGCAGGTCAAGGGTAACGTTGGCTACCCATCGGGCAGAAACTTTGTGATACAGCAAGTTGTTCACAAGGATATGACGGATTGTTTCGCTGCTACACACTCCTCCAAGCTTCTCTTCCAAGTCCCTAATTGTCGCACGGCAGTTTTGATCATTTCTGCCTCCACTGCTTGAATAATCGCATCCGAGACCGATGGTCGGGCACTTCTCCCCTCGTCGTGAACATTAGTGCGCCCGAAGTCGAGCTCGCGGCTCCACTTAACACGTTTTTTATGTCCATACACTTTTCTCCGTAAACTTCAACTAGTTGACGATGGATTTCAATAGGTGTCATCTTTTTCGCACTCAAAAAACGTATTACAGAACGCAATTCGCACTTGGACGCTGACGTGAGGGGTACCTCCATCGTTGACGGCTGCTCAGCCAAGACTGAGCGGTCGGGGAAGCCTCACACAGCTGCAAAGTGGTAGTAGGGGCCGGAGTTGATATACCCTTGCAGGTAAACCCGGATATATATCGCAACAATCGGATGTAGTTTGTCGATCATTATGAGAATGTCATAATATAAGCAATTTATTACAATACAAAATTTAAAAAAAGTCACAAACTTCTAACTTAAAAAAAACAGCAGTTGGTATTTTTACCAAATACCAAAAACCATTTCCCATCGTTCAGCTATGGCAGCTATTACATATAGTTGGCCGATCCTTATGAAAACAGGTCGGTCGTATTTTATTGCCGAAAAATGCAAAACTCAAACTCGATAACTCAAAAATAACTTAACAGCTTTTCCGATCAATCATTTATATTACCACTATAGGATATATTCGGCTGAATTCGGCCGTTCTGACTTATATACTGCGTGCAAAGGAAAAAAACATTTCAAGTCGACACCTACAACAGTCGTTGCAAACATTCGCGTCGATAGCATTAAAACAGAGACTAGTTTGCTTAGAAACAGACAGACGGACAGACAAACGGACATGCTTATATCAACTCAGCAGGCTTTGCAACCTAATTCCTACCTCGAAAAAGCACTTGATCTTGTAGCCTGTCCTGAGCACAGTATCATTCATGAATTCCTAGCAAAAG